TAAGAATGCTCCGAGGAGCTGACTTGTATCCAATGAGTTCTCAGACTAAAAATTGCATAATCAATATTTTTATGAGACTTGTTGACTTAAGAAGTTTAGTTGCTTCATCTCGGGATATTCAACAGCCTTCTGGCCGACACGTCGCATAGTGGCCACTTGGAGAGTCTTGTAGCCTCAGCTGAGCATACAGGGGCTTGAAAATTCTTAGGTAGCATAACTCGTGAAGCGCAACTAGTTTCCCAGCGCAGAGTTTATTTTTTCTTGCAAACAAGAATGCAAGAAGTCGGTCCGAGAGCTGTCCCTCCGCTTCGACTCCCAACTGCGCAAACAACTAGGTTAGACTGCTCCATGGAATAGGGAGACAGAGGGAGTCACTAGTCGGCATTGTGGAGGTTCATGCTTTCTACGAGACAAACAAACGTCACTCATCATACCTCTTCTTTCTCACGACACGTGCGCTTGCTGGTGAGAACTTAGAAGGCATGTAGAGCAATTGCCCAAAATTCCAAACCTTAAAGACCCCATTAGAGACCAACGGGGTCCGCTGAAGGTTGGATATTGGTCCCAACAACTTGAAAAATACTACATCCTCGTAAGGACAATATACTGCAAAGGAGGGTGAACCTTTAGGGAACGTCTCAGTGCTCTGAACCCTTCCACGTATTTTAGCATGAACGCCGAGGCAGTGATGTTAACGGCTGTCCATTCGACACCAGTTGAAAAATAAAAGGCTAAGAGCGATCATGTCAGCTTGAAAAGCATAAAGGCGCAGTACAGCCCCGGCGGCTGCCTGGAGCAAACGCCGCTGGCACTAGAAAATGAGTCATAGGCTTTGGTTGAACCATGCTCACGCCGGCACGTTATAGCATAAGAAGAGGGCCCAAGTGGAAGCCACTCTCCTTGAAGTAACTTTTCAAGGGGGCAAACCCATGTCATAATGGGCGATAAGGGATTTGGTCAAGAAAAAGTAAGATGATGAACCTAAGCTTAGGCATGAAGTGAAAAAGCATACCGGCTTAATGTCCCGATGCAAAAAGCCGACTGAATGGATGTCTTCGATTGCTTTTAGCACCTGAAGCGCCAATCGGACGCCTGTCGAAATTGAAAAACACTGGCGAGGAGTCTCCCGACGTAGGTCAGCCAGATTGCGCCCTTGCAGGCTCATGACCAAGTAATTGAACTTCTCGTTTCTACCGCAGCCAAAAAACCGGCAGGCGTGCTTTTTGCCTGCTGGCAATGCGCAATGAGGCTATGTCGAAAAAGTGCAACGCGGGCTCACCTTGCAAACGACGCAATACGGCCACTTCCATCTTGAGCACTTGCTTGCTAGCCTTGCTCGACTCAACTTTCACTGCGACCTGTTCATTGTTGTTCTGGCAGTCCAGCGCTTCGTATATTTCGCCGAATCCACCGCCACCGATTTTGCAAGCGATCTTCCAATGGCCCCGGATCACTTGGCCGGGAAGAAGCATATCCCCTTCGCTTGAACTTGTCATTGGTGGGATGTTTTAGGGGAAAAATATTCCAATGCACATTTGTGGAATCGGAATAGCCCACTGGATGGCATTAGGATGGCGGAAAATGGTGACCGAATGCGCATTGAGCCGAAGCATCGGCTTCTCAAACGCCTCGTAGAGGCAACGCCGAATTGCTATAGTACAGTATGATTTCAAAAGCGTCAAGTCCCAACTAGCAGTTGCGTATCGACCACCCTCCAACATGCACGCTGGTCGATGGAAATAGCAGCGCAAGCCCAAACAGACTGATAACGCTATATAAAACAAAAGGAAAATAGTTTAGGCAACTTGGGAATGCTTAAACAAAATTTGCTTTGAGACGCGCCAATGAAAACGAATTCTTACCGAAGCATTTTTCTTTGCTTCCTTAACAGCACAGGAAAAGAGTACAAGTCATTGTTTTCGACTGTTGTACGGGAAGTCACTTTAAGAGAATGAAAAGCCTGTTCGTAGATTCAGCTGCTTATGCGTAAACCCTGCAAGCGGGCTTCCACCTATTGCCAAGAGTTAATTGGACGCTGGACGTCCCATGGCGACACAATGTTGTTGAAGAGAAGTATGGTGAGCTCTATTGCCAAATGGTTTTGCTTGACTTAGACTTGAGCAGCGCAACTCTAAAGGCGGATTTTCGTTTCCATCCTGGCGACGCCTATCAGTAGGGTAAGCGCAATTACAAACTAAGGTCGGTTATATACGGAACAACATCAGGCATCCTTACGCAAGTAATAGAGTCGCTAAACTGGGTGCCATTTTCTAGCCGCCTATAGTAGCAATTAACTTTGACTGATGGTGAATTAACTGAAATTTGAACTTGCTAAAAATCTTGTGCCCTTGGTTGCTAAAAATTCAGCATAGTAAACACACAAAAAAAGGAAACACATCAGCGACAGGAAGACGAACAGACTGAAGCTGCAGGTATGTATTTAGTTAGCCGGGATGAACTCCTAATTCAAGCGCGTTTTGAATGATTAAGTTTTTTAAAAAATTAAGGCGCGAAATGATATGCTTAAGTTACAGAATTGTTACTTGCATACGATTTAGTATACAGTATACATTTGTCTATACGTAAAAGGATCGAGCGAAGCTTGCTTCGATAATTCGATTCAATTGTTGTGCAGTGGACAAAAATTGACAATGACAAATTGACTTCTTCTTGCTGCCGATTTTCGGCGCGTGCGAAACTTGCGGCAACGGAGCAACAACGCATGTGACGGAGAGGAAAAGAAGTTCACTCGTAAATCAAAGCCTTCTGCCGTTGCTCTGTTTTTCCGCAAGTCCATGTGGATGTTCAACTAGTAGTCAGCTGTTTTCAAGCAGTTAAATGAAAGCATGAAACGAGAAATTTCGAGTAAAAAGAAAACACGACGGTCGGAGCGGTGGCAAACGTCGCACGTAATCCACGTGTCACTTGAAATCTTTATTACCTTACTTAAAGCTGTTATCTTCTTATAAGCAGTCAAACCATCGGCGTACGTGTTGTCAAGTCCCTCCATTCTTATCTTTTGCTGAATCGCGAAGAGTTTGGTTTGAGAAGAATATATGGCCAACGTACTCAAATGCGTCAATTTTTCCTTCTGCTGGCAGTTGCCTTTTCAATGTTTCACATTGTTTTGCTTGTTTTGGCCCTCCGACCTATTCGGCATATTTGCATTCGGGAAACTTACGAGCTACAATATTCAAGTTGAAATAGCTTTCCCGAACTCATTGATCGCTCGTGGTTAGAGAGAGGCAGAAAAGATAGGTACTTTCCCTTCCGCTAATAACAGAACTTTCAGTTTTCGACGCAGTAGCAAGCAGCACTTAAGCAGCCAACTCCTTCGCTAAGAATTAGTGTTTTAATGCTTCAGGGCCCTAAGTAAACTGATAGAAGTTGCAAATTAGCTAAAGTAGCCAAATTTAAGTCGTTTTAACGCCTATTGACCGTTTCGCTTTGACTAAAGAGCTGTCACAAAAAATCCTTAAAGAGCATGGACATCAGAAGGCGGGGCATCCTTTCATCGTTGCCAAAATTGCATCTGCTTCTCGTCTAAAGCAACAAGAACGTTCCAATTTGCTATTAGTACTTTATTATGCAATAGCCAATACAGTACTGTAACTATTAGCAGAAAAGTGAACATCTGT